TCGGCGTCGAGACGATGTCGACATCGATGCCGCCGCGGAGGAGGTGAAGAGGATGAGGACGATGAAGTACAAGCGTGCCTTGCCCTCCTTCGACGTCGACGCCTGTCCTGTGATGTCGAGGAGGAGGTAGAGGTGTACCTCCGACGATGTCGGCGTCGACGCCTCCTCGGTGGGGAAGAGGAAGATGAGGAATCCTCCGAAGAGGATCTCCGTCGACGTCGAGAACGCCTGTCGGGGGACCGACACCGGCGTTTCGAAATGTGCTTCCTCTTGCGAGAGCGCTTCCTCGGCGACGACCTCTGTCTCGATGCCGATGAGGAGGAATGAGCCAACGACGCCCGCCCGGTAGATACAGGGCTATGGGGCGGAGACACCAAGCTTGCGGTAGCACAAGCAAGCTGGCGAGGCGTCGGGGACAAAGCCCGAGGAACATCCAGTGGCTCAGCCTGTCTAGGAGGTAGCGAGATCGGTACCTCCGACAGGGATTCTCTGTCTCTTAGAGACTCCTCCAAAATAGGGGACGGAATAGGAGCAGGAGCAGATAGCAATTGTTCGGTTGCCCCCAGCTCTTTACCCGCCTTTTTCTTTGGTTGCTTCGCAGGTTTGGACGCCGCGGTTTTGGAGGATGGTGCCTTTTTCTTTGAAGGTTTGTCTCCACCCTTACTTTGAGCCTTGGTGGAAGATGGCCCCAGGCTGGTAGAAGTCGATGGGGCAGCGGCGGAGGCGGGGAGCTCCATAGATGATGGTTGTGAAGCAGCCAGGGCAGCGTCCCAAAGATGATATTTCAAGCGCTGTTGGCGTGCACGAAGGGCAGGTTTTGTGAAAGCCCTACAGTGCCTGCAATCCTGGGGGGAATGCGCCTCCCCCAAACAAAAAAGGCACTTTTCGTGTCTGTCCTGAAAAGGGAGCTTGCGATGAAGCAGCCAGGGCAGCGTCCCAAAGATGATATTTCAAGCGCTGTTGGCGTGCACGAAGGGCAGGTTTTGTGAAAGCCCTACAGTGCCTGCAATCCTGGGGGGAATGCGCCTCCCCCAAACAAAAAAGGCACTTTTCGTGTCTGTCCTGAAAAGGGAGCTTGCGATTGCAGTCCACGCAGCGACTAAATGGGCCAGACGGGGACATAAGCTGCAAAAGCGAAATCCGCCGCACCCAGGAGACCGTTGGTTTAGGCGGGAAAAACCCGATTCGTCACAACCAGCGAAAAACCAGTGCCAAGTCCAAATAAACAATCCGCGTCAGGATAGGAGAGGTTAGAATAGTCGGTAGTCGTACAGGGTCAAAAACCGCAGGGTCCAAAGCCGAAAAAAGTCCAAGAATAAGAAAATATATCAGAGCTCTAGCCGAAAGGAACCACTTCGCACAGCGGAGAAATGGAACTGAGGCTGGGTGGGAGGAGCATGCGCAGTGTACCTAATCTACAACTTTGTTTCTTTTAGCTCTAGAACATTCCGAGAGGATCATCGCTGGCGCTGATTTAACCCTTTTGTGTGCATTCACAGAAGACCACGATGAAGAACGGTCTCCATAGAGTTTTACTCTTGGGTTGGTTGATGGCTTACAAGGAAATGGAAATCTTATTCCAGCTGACTGGAAAGTCTTTGTTAAAGCAATGCTCACTCTTATACTTTTCATGCAGGAATGGAGAGATGCTGCTGTCATTTTGGTCATGGATAATTTACAAAACTATATTGCTGTGTTTGCAGATTAGCTAAATGGAGATTGACTCTTTGTCACCATAGCACAGCAGATTACCATCCCTAAACAGGGGATTGGCACAAGTGGGTGACATTGTTAGAGCAGCCTGGTTATAAATCCCAGACAAAGGTACCCCTTTAGGGTCTTTTGCCAATTTGCATCAGGGTCCTACAGAGGACTATATGTCTTTACGTTAGTGCAGTTCCAACAGTTCCTTGGGCACTAAATTGAGCTTGTCCATTTTTGTACCTTCCTACTCATGAATTGCAGCCTTTGTTTAATGTACTCCAGGGACATCAGTCTCCTGCTGACTCCATACCCATCACCAAGGCTATGAAACATGCCAAACATCAAATTAATGCAGCCTTGCGATGTACATGACTAAGTGTCTCTACATTCCCCTCATCACATACACACAATTGACTCTTGTGTAGGGTATTGTGTGGGTGATCATGGAACAAAGGAATGGCTAATTGCCTGAAGGAGAGAACAAAGGAGTCGACAGCGAAAGTCCGAGCCAGCAGAGGCTACTGGCAATGACCTGAGGGCTCTTTTTATTGACTTAGCATGATTATATAGTATGTTGAGAGAAACAGATAGGATACTAGTTACCTAATCGTAACTAGGATTGGCTAAAATAACCCTTTGATCTTATGGTTACTGCTAAGCGAAAGGGCAGAAGAAGGGGCTACCCCAACTGCTGGCAGCTGCCACATCCAGCCAGGAGTCTATGCACGTCACTGGAATAGAATGCAGCTACAACCTTTAAGCAGACGTTTCCCACATTTCCCCTAGTTTGTTAAGCAAAGGGACATATTCTTTCATATATTTGTGAACTACATATAAGTATTTTCGGTGAAGGCCTGAGGGTGAAGCTTTGAGACAGGTAGTTATCATGGAAAAGAAGGCTGGTATACATTGAATAAAGCAACAGGAACTTATAAGCAGTATGAGGAGCATATATTAATACAATATGAAGCCATCCAAAGTGGGGTAGCCATGACCACAAACTATCCCACCAGGAAGGATGTCCTATTGTATGTTATTGGCAAGCTGTCTAAGCTGAGCAAATTGATTATTTACTCCATGACTAGTATCAGATAAGTTAAAGCAACAGAGATTGGCAAAAGACTCACCACTGATGTGATTACCCAACACAAGATAATCCAATGCTGCGTGATTGTCTAAAATAGCATCATGTAGTTGTTGTTGTTCCTAATTCAGCAGGGCAATAGCAGTGTAAGTGTGGTCAATGGCTCTAGCTAAGGAGTACACAATGTTTGCAAGAGTGTGAGAATTATGAACAGCAAGGCCAGGAACGCTAACAAGCGATACAGCCAGTGAAACATTCTGCTTTGGATAACAAAGTATCCAAAGCAGCATTGCTGTTTTTTTTATAAATTGCCATGTGCAATGCAGATTTGTGTTCACTCATCCTCTTGTACAGAGAATACATTTTTGCTCTATACCGAAGACAGAGGGCCACTGCTGGCAAAGGATGGCATAGCTCACATTAGTGGATGAACAGTAACACAATCATGTAGTTGTGAGTAACACAGAGTAGATGCAGGGGTACAAGTGATGTTTGTAGATGGGTTCTAATGGACAGACGTAGGGACCCTTGTTCATTTTCTAATGTGAGCTATGTCATTCTTTTCCAGCCTATGTTAGTCTTTGAAATGCACAATATTTTTCTTATGTTCTTGTGAAGAAGAGGAGAATGAGGAGGAAGATGCGGACAGAACTACACCATCCCCACCCTCCTAGTTTTTACTCTCATTCCATCTGGACTCCCATTTTCCATTCTCCAGAGTAGCAAACTCAAGTAATGTGACCGTAAGTATCATGTATACTTAGTGCATATAACCAGTGCTTATAACAACGTATATGAAGACTTCATGTAAGTGAACCTGGCACTACAAAATGCCAGAGTTTTTAAAACAGGCTCTGAAAACAGGCTCTCCCTGTAGTTGCTCCATGTTTTATTACAGCCAGGATTGTGATACATAGTGAACATGTTCCGATGGCTGTTGTTCTTCATTCCATATTCAGTTATTTCAGAGCACCCAACATATGTTTATCTTTTGTGCTTTGCAATTGCCAAATTACTTTTCTCAAAACTTTCATCCTTTGACAATGTTTGTTAGCACTGCCATCTCGTGGCTGCTAGCATAACACTACATTTTAACTTTTCCACCTAAAAACTGTGGCGTAACTGAGGATAGAGTCCTATAGCCAATGTTTAAGCGGTTAAATATTTATGCATACCCAGAACTGCCCCAAATTGAACAAATTATGGAATGAATCTCTCTCCACACCATCTATTTTGCCTATCTTTCCTGTATGGATTTCCCAAACCACCTTTCCTCTGTCTGTAATCTTAAAACTCAGTCCCACGCTTTCCTCTCTTAACCCTAGACTCCATTTTCTATACAGTGGTGCCTCGCATAGCGATCGCTCCGTTGAGCGACGAAATTGCTTAGTGACGGAGTTTTGCGATCGCAAAAGCAATTGCTTTGTGATGATCCCTATGTGTTTTTTTTTCGCTTTGCGATGATCACGGGGAAGCGATCATGGCAAAGCGACCCTTTTTAAACAGCTGATCGGCGGTTTCAAAATGGCTGCTGGGAAAACAAAATGGCCGCCCGCTGTTTTTCCTCGCTTAAGAGGCAGCGAAAATGGCGGCGCTATGGAGGATTTTCGCTTAAAGGTGAGGTTTTAAGCCCATAGGAACGCATTAATCACATTTTAATGCATTTCTATGGGCTTTTTAATTTCGCTTAGCAATGTTTTCGCTTAGCAACGTTTTCCCCGGAACGGATTAACGTCGCTAAGCAAGGCACCACTGTATTTGCTATGAAGCACAACCCAGAAACTAATGAGAATTTCATTTCTGTTTTTCTTTTACCATAAATTATCCAATTTACAACTTCTACAACTGGATTGGATACAGAATGTCAACTAAAGTCTTCTCATTTCCTCACTTGGGTGTTACTCACCCAAAACAATTGTAGATTTAAAAACAGGCAAGAAAATATGTGTATATTTGAAAAATACAGATAGGAACTATTTAGGGACAGGCACCTGTGGTCCTCCACCTGCTGAGCACTCAGAACGCTCATTTGCTCAAATCAGCATAACTCACAGTGAAGGGTCAGAGTTGCAGTACTGTACAACAGTGGGGGTGGGGTGGGGACACACCTACTTCTGCCTTAACCAATGCAAAGCATTTGAAAAATGCACACAAATAACATACATTTCAAAAATATGTAGAAAAAATGCACAAGCACAGGTGCAAGTCAGAGTAAGCTCTCAAGATGAACCTCAATAAGTTTGTGCTTTACAGATTTAAAAGCAGCTAAAACAGTTCATTATATGGAACCTGGAGACCCTGATATAATTAGTCACTCCATTAATACAATGCTTTCAATAGACATCAGGAAACAAGCTTTTAAGTGACTTTTAGCCACAGAGAATCCTTCAGCCTCTTTGAGACTTAGTACGTAGTACCCCTTCTCAACTTCCAGGACTGGGCGCCTTATAAATCCCTCTTCTTCCAGAATAAGTGCAGCTCATCATCTCCAGCACACTGTCAGGAGGTTGTAACTAAACTGATGAAGCAACCAGCTCCATATACAATGGAAGTTGCTTTGAACAAGGGAAAGCACACATAGAATACTTACCTTGATCAAATGAGTATAAAACTACTCTCTGCCTCATCATTTGATGGTCAATCTGCCTATAAAAATGGATTATCAGCCCACCTTGGAAGATGGAGAGAGATATTACAGCTGGCACCATATTTGATGCCTACATTTATACCTCAGAGGTGCACCAAAAAGCGACATTGCCTCTACTCCCCCAAGTCTATCTCCGGAAGTCCTGCTTCCATGCACTAAACACTGCTGGTTGGTTTCAGGTTTTTCTGTCATGTTGCAAGACCAGACAGCTTTCTGAAAGTACTGATTGATCACATTATAGGACAGATAACAGAGCTGCACCCATCCCTATCACCCTACACAAATGTGGACGAGGGGTGTCAGTCGGGCTTTCCTCTGAGGAGAGGCATTCAAATCTGTGATGAGATAGCAACTCCCCTTTCCTTTGCTGTGTGTTTTGTGTGTTTAGTCGTTTAGTCGTGTCCGACTCTTCGTGACCCCATGGACCAGAGCACGCCAGGCCCTCCTGTCTTCTACTGCCTCCCGGAGTTGTGTCAGGTTCATGTTGGTTGCTTCGCAGACACTGTCCAGCCATCTCATCCTCGGTCGTCCCCTTCTCCTCTTGCCATCACACCTTCCCAACATCAAGGTTTTTTCCAAGGACTCTTTTCTTCTTCTCATGAGATGGCCAAAGTACTGGAGCCTCAGCTTCAGGATCTGTCCTTCAAGTGAGCATTCAGGGTTGATTTCCTTTAGAACTGATAGGTTTGTTCTCCTTGCAGTCCAGGGGATTCCCAAGAGCCTCCTCCAGCACCACAATTCAAAGGCATCAATTCTTCGGCGGTCTGCTTTCTTTATGGTCCAGCTCTCACTTCCATACATCACGACAGGAAAAACCATAGCTTTGACTATTCGGACTTTTATTGGCAAGGCGATGTCTCTGCTTTTCAAGATGCTGTCCAGATTTGTCATCGCTTTCCTCCCAAGAAGAAGGCGCCTTTTAATTTCAGGGCTGCTGTCTCCATCTGCAGTGATCATGGAGCCCAGGAAGATAAAATTTGACACTGCCTCCATATCTTCCCCTTCTATTTCCCAGGAGGGGATGGGACCAGTGGCCATGATCTTAGTTTTTTTGATGTTGAGTGTGTGTTTGCTGTGTGATAAGGTATAATTTGGAAAAAGGCTTTGTTTTGTTGCATCAGTAGATCAGTTCTAAGTCATATGTTTATGCTCACACTGTTGGATTATAGTTATGAGGACATTTGTTACCATACTTGTATTTAAAATTTAAGTAAACATCTGTTAGATTACAATTTTATTCTCTCTTTATATTTTTCCAGCATACTGATGACACCTTATTCCAAATCTCCTGATGATCTCCCTCAGCAGTTCAACATAAATGTCAGATACCATTGGGGCACACCACAACTGAGAGTTCAACGGGCCAACAAGTCAACCCCAAGCTGAACTGTCTGGACACATTCCTCATGGAAGGACTGAAGAAAGCTCAATGCCATCCCCCGATCCCTATCTCAGAGACCCTGCTCAGGAGGACACCATGGTGGATGGTATCAAAAGCCACTGAGAGATCAAGGAGAACCAGCAGGGTACCTTTACCCCTGTCAGCTCCCCTTAAAAGTTCATTGTGTAGTGTGACCAGTGTTGTCTCAGTACCCTGTTGTTGCCTGAATCCAGACTAGAGTGGGTCAAGGCAATTTTGCTTCTCCAGGTATGTCTGAAGCTGATTAGCCACTACCTGCTTGATCACCTTCCTCATAAAAATAATATTGGCAATTGGAAGTAAGTTATGATCACTCATTGCCAGTTGAGGGCATTTAATGGTGGGTCAGATAATGATTTCTTTTACACAAGGAGAGATAAATCCCTCCTTCAGTGATTTGATGACAATATTCACAACCCAATTCACCACAGCCCCATTGTCAGCTTTTATTAGCCAAGGCAGGCAAGAATCGAGCTAGGAGGCAGTAGCCTACACCTAACCAGCAGCCTGGAAACCTCCTTTGGCATTACCAGGTCAAACTGAACCAAATGGGCAGGGTTAGAGGGTGCAGCAGCAGTCCCCACCCAATCAACCAAACTGCTGGTGAAGTCAAGATCAGACTGGATGTCCTTTTAGAAGGCTATAAATTGTCCGCTGTTTTTTTTTGTTTGTTTTTTTTTTGAAGCAAGGCCTTTGAGGGCCACGGTTGGTGAGACCATGAACCACCCAGACGTTTTCTGCCTGTCAGTTTGTGGCCTCATTAATGATCTTGCTGTTGAAAACCCTTTTTGCTGCTTTCAAGGCATTGGCATGCCTCCTACATAAACCCTTAACGGCAGCCAAATTTAGATCCAACTGGTCTTTCCGCCACCTGCTAAAACAGCAATCACTGCTTCCTGCACCTCTCCTGACTTCTATCTAAGAAACATGTGCCTAGCAAAATCCATCATGCCATGAACTTTGGGACTTGAGTTTTCACACTGGTACAGCATGATGAAGTGGTGTTTTGATCCACGAAAGCTTGTGTACTGCATAGTGATTTTTAAGTGGTCTATAAAGGTATCACCTATTGCACAAGTAAATGAAGTTATTTCCTTTTCTGAGATCTGCATTGCCACACATAATAACTTTAACAATAAGTATAATCGATATACTTTGTGTTGATCCAGTGGATACAGGGGTTCTATTGTACCATTATAGTTGCACATTTATAAAAATAACTTTTCTTTCTTAAAGTGACTGAACTATTAAAGCATTGAAGTACGACTAGCCACTAGCCTGTGGTACAAAACATTACCAAGTACTATAAGAAAGCATTGATAATATAGATAACATGTTTTTAAAAGCAAACATGCTGAACATATTTTTAAAAATCCACACGACTAATGGGTTATTATTGAAATGAGTTTTTCCATAATAACAAATGGAACAGCCTTTCAGTTTTGTATGTAATAGAAACACCTGGAATTTACTATGGCCAAAATCATGTACCTTAGCATAGTAAATTGCACTAGAATAGTCTCATTAACTCAATGCAGATTTTGTAAATCAACTCCTCCATAAATTCCACTGATTCTAATAGGCCGATTCTAACTGCAATTTACCATAGCATGGTAAATCACAGTTAGAAGAGGCCCATTTGAATTAATAGTATTATAGTTGACTCACCAAATCCCCATTGAATGGACCTACTGTAGTGCAATTTACTTCACTAAGCAACAGGATTTTGCCCTGTATTTTCAAGGGCATTTAAACAAACACTTGTCTGTGACTTATTACAAAAGGAGTGCTAGCAACTCCTTTAGCAACAAATGACTACAGCCCTGGTTGCTTTATTTTTGCTTCTCCTCTTCCATGGCATTCTGGGTAAAGATCTCCTGCAGCAGATACTTATTCTCGCTCCCGAACTCAGGCACATACAGATGAACAGTTAAGGTATGTGAGAAGATTCTATGGGGTTCTACAGGAAGTTTGTTCTCTCTTAATCAAATAATAATAAGCATGTGTAGGTCTATAATTCTTCACATTAATATTGTACATATTGTACATTTACATTATTAGAATGATGACAACTAATATTTAACTTAACTGGAATCACCATATGTGTGAATATTTTGAGAAAAGGGAATAGCTATCTTGGTCTGAACAGGAGGGCATTTTAGGTTGTTCACTGTGTCAGCACTTATGGCAAAAATATTGTTCAGGGTCCTACTGCAGAGTGAACTGTGAGCATGAGGCTTAATGTGTTCTGGAAAGAAAGACCTGCTCTATTTCAGATGGCGGCTCTAAAATGGCCACCCACTGTGCAAAATGGCTCCCCGCTGTGCTTTAGGATGGATTCCTCGCTTTACAGGCACCGGAAAATGGCCGCCCTATGGAGGATCTTCACTGGACGCTGAGGTATTTAGCCCATTGGAACACATTGAACCAGTTTTCAATGCATTTCAATGGGCTCTTTCGTTTCGCTTGACGAGGATTTCGCTTAACAGCGATTTGAACGGAACAAATTATCCTAATCAAGCAAGGCACCACTGTATGTGTATCCCTAGCCATGATTCTGTTCCTTAATAACTCTATAAATATCCACAACAGATAGACACATAGATATCCATAACTGTAGTGAGGAAACATTGTGGTACCTTTGAGAGTACCCCACAAGATTTTACATTTCTTCAGATGCACAAACTGGAATGAAGAGATTATAAATATGCGTGCTCTACAATGAGAAAATGGAAGTTAACAAGGCACTACCTTAAGATAACAGGAATATAAAGCCTACTTTGATTACAAGTGCACTCATATAGAAACACAATTTATATGCAAAAAGGAGCCAATTTTGAAGTGTAGAAAAAGCCGATCATCCCAATTCAAGTCTAAAGAAATGCAATCAAGCTCTTTAATAAATTTTCATTCTTTTGAAATCTTTCTGGAGTAACATGTGAACTGCCCTCTTAACACAATCCTAAACCAATTTACTGAGAAGACTTTTCTATCAAGAATATAGCTTAAACATATGTATTTACAAACTATAGTTGAATCCTATTATGTGCATTCAGAAGTAAATCCCACTGAGTTCATTCGGTGCTGGGAAAGAACTGTGGCTAAAATGTTGAGCTAGAAATCAGGAAATCCATGGTTTACATTTCACCTCTGATACAAGTTCAGTAAGCTGCCCGGTCTCCGGGTGACGCATGGAGTCTCGGTGAATTGTTTCTTCGAATTTCCAAGCAGGGAGAGAAACCTCAAAGTGAGTGGTGATAGAGGGGAAGGAAGTTTAATTTAGTGAAAGAAGTGTCTTTAAAAATTTGGATACTCCTCTCCTAGGTGACATCTGGGCTTACTAGCTTCACCTAAAGTTTTTCCCAACCTTTGTGTGGCCTATATGTGTGGTGTCAAAGGACCCCATCCTCTTGTCTCAGGTTTTGGACCAGATTCTCAGGGAATGGGGTGCTGTTGATTTGGCAATTTCAATTGCCACTGTTGCCAAATAAGACCACCAGTGTTGTTGCCTTTCTGGTGCAAATTAAAGGACTTTCGGCTTGTGAAAAATAAAATCCATGTACTCTCAACGGAGCTACATGACTATTTCTGATACAAATTGTTACAATGGACTTAACTACTGTACCTGCTAAATCGCTTTCACTGGAAGACTATCATTATGACTGCTAGATTTCAGAGTACTAGCTGAAGTCTCAGAGAATAGCTGTGCTTTCTTGGATCTCTGGGTGGGGAGATAAATCTTAAAGCAAACAATGCTGGAGCATGAAAAAGTTTGATTTTTCTGTACGACATATAGACAAAGGGCTCACTGGCTATGTCCAAACACAGTTTGTATGTGTGTTGTGCTTGCAACTCTCCCCATCCTTGTCTGCCCTATATAACCCCACAAGGGCACAACCTGGCCATGTCACAAAGGCATGCTCTCAGGTTTTTGCCCTCAATGGAATGCTAGTGGTTTGTCTACCAGGTGAACTGAGGAAAGCTAAATTTAGTATTCTCTCACATTTGTTCAGGATCATCCATCACATCTGAGAGTGGGCAGGAAATATCAAAATGTGTGGGTGAGTGGGAAACCAAATATACTTGAGTCAGTTTGGCAAATTAAAAACAAGTGGGATTTATTTCCAGATCAGTATGATTAAAATGGTCTGCAAGTCTCAAATTATGAAATGAAAAATATTATATACCTGTAGTAACAGAAAAACACAGTGCTATTGAATGAAATCTTGGATTACTTTGCTTTGTAAAAATCATATGATGTGCAATGATAGTGCAGGGTGGGGGCACCTTCACAAGTGCAAATAAAACTGTGCTTTAGATCAGACACCACTAGGTGGTGGTCATTCAACGCAGACCAGGTACTTCTTTTCTGAATAAATGCAAAACATAAACTAGCTATTACATAGTATAATGTAAGTTTCAAAAATAAATTTTAAGCTGTACTCATAAACAGGCTTACACAAGAGTAAGTCTCATAAAAATGATGGGAAATTTTTCAAAAGAAGTAGATTGCAGATTCAGACTCTTATACCATTGGCCTTTCTGGCTGGGATGATGATGATGGGAGTCGTAATCCAACACATCAAGAGGACAAAATGTTGAGGAAGGCTGCTTTACATTATAATGGCTTATGTGGTGCAAAGAGAGACATCAAGTAGCTAGTCATATGCTACCTCTCTCCTCAGAATTGACCCTGGTGCCTGATCACACCTATTGCTTTCAAGGTGCTGCTACTGAAAGGATAATAATCTTAGAGCTACAGAGCTAGCAGAAATCCTATGGATTATTTAGCCCAACCCCTGTCAAAGAGGCACAGTGGTGAACTGAATTCTCAGCCTATGACTCCACAGCCAGATGCCTAAACCAGGATGCAAAAGAAAACCAGAGTCAAAGCTGAAGGTGGACTGGCAAACTGTATCTCCCCAGGTAAGAAACTGTGAAGGGTTCAACAGAGGGGAGCCAGTTGGGAGCTCACAGGAGGTTGCTCTGAGTGAAAGCATTGTCAACCATCAACTATGGGATCCTTTTCTGGCTGCTGAGACTAAATGTACCATTTTATTGATATCGCTGTGCTAATTTCTGGAGGAGATGTTCCCAGAAAGTGATTGTGCTATGCACTACCCCATGGCCCAAGGTGCCAGACAGCTTTCTCCTCTGTGCTAATATGGCTGCACAAGCATGCTGCCATATACTATGATGTTAAGAGCAGAAAAGCATCCCATAAGGCAAATCAATTGATACTGATGCCCCAAACAAAAAACAAAAAATTATACCTATGAAACTGGACCTCAGACCAGTACCAAATCTGGCACAGATGTAGCAGAGTGTCTCTGCTTGTTCTGCACCAAATTTGGGGACATTTAGGCACAGGGTTTTCAAGTTTTTATTCTCTAAAAAGTAACAATGTTTTTACCTCATACAGACGCAAGTAACTTGTACCTACAGCCCAGTGAAAAAAGATGAAATACAATGATAAGACAAAATGTGCATATCTAAAAAAGCTTCCTTTTTCATTCAGAATGATTAATTACACTTTTTATTTAGTCTTTATAAAGCGTGAAAGCCTCTGAAATAGCTGCTTTTTATAACTTGGCAGGATTTAGAATTTAGAATAGAATAGAATGAGCTATTTGAACATCTGGTATTTGAGATTATTTTGATCAAAACTGCTATAACAGGCTTCATTTTCTCCAATTCAAAGACTCATTGCCGAAATCTTGGAAAATCTGTAGCTTAGTGCCCCTGTAAACCAGCTGGTCTTTTTTTGTTTGATTTCTCTCATATATTGTGCTTTCTTTGTATAATTAAAAAACTTCACCACCACTGGTCTTGTTCTTGGGCTTTTGGGATTATCAACAAAATGAGCTCTTTCTATGTCCAGTTTACTCAAGTGTTGTGGACCCATTATGGAGTTAACTCAGCTTATAATCTTTTTTTTGGGTCTTGCCCATGTTGCAATTGAAAATTCATTATTTTAATGTTGGACCTTCTGGAGTTATCTTCCAAATAAATCAGCTTTTTGGTTGTTTCGTTGATTCTCTCATCCATTGTGCTTATCCTGCTTTCATTTTCTGCTGCCCTGTCTCCCAGCTCTTTAATTTTCTGATTGATAATTTTCAACTCCTCTGTCATTCCTGAAACTTGATCTTAAAGCTTATTAATGCTCATTTCAATAGACTTGGCTCATCTCTCTGCTTGCTCAAACTTGTGACTCATTTTACAGGACATGTCCTTCACAATCTACGTCAGTTCGTCCATTGTTTCTTGTTTATCTATGGCTTGGGCTGGTGAAACTGCCCTCCTCAAGCGTTCCAAACTGCGATCTGATGGTATGTCAGAGGTTTTATCTAAAGCTTTATCTCTTGTCTAAGCAGATGTTTTAACAGCCTTATCCTTCCTCTTTGGTAAAGAGAAGATTAATTATGAGTGAATATTGTTATTACAAGCTTTCATTAGAATCAGGGCTCTAAAAAACACTAACAGCTTATCAGACTCAAAAACAAAGGCAGTATTCAACTCTAAATCAACAGTCTTTAGAGAGTTTAACTAGATGTACACATTCCTCTGAAGGTCTATGCAGAAAAAAAACAGTCTTCAGAAGGAAAAAATGCATTTGAAACGTTGTTTATCATATCGGCAATGCAGAGGTTCAGTTCTTAGCTGTTCATTCCTCCCAAGTGCTAGTGATGTCTGCTCAGGTGGTTCTTGTGTGGTTCCCTTTACTCCCACCTCCCCCACCCATCAGACATTGCACCTGGGAACTACATTGTTCCATCTTGCATAGTGGCCCAGCCTAAGAATTTAGATTCTTTGGAACTGGAAGCATGTAAAAAAAGGGGGGTGATACCCCTGGAGAAATGATACCCCAGAAAAATAGAGGTTAAAAATCTCTGGCCCTTTCAAATGGACAAAAA